GGGCACTGCAGGGATATTTTGCAGGTGGGCACTGCAGGAATACTTTGCGGTTGGGCACAGCGAGGATACTTAGTGGTTGAGCACTGCAGGGATACTTTGCGGTTGGGCAGTGTAAGGATACTTTGCGGTTGGGCACTGCAGACATACTCTGCGGTTGGGCACTGACAACATCTACTTTCAAATCTAACAACCCCACAGCGAGGGTGGGGAATAACCACAAAGACATGGCTGATTATTGGGAGTTGTGGATGGGCTGCTATAAGAAACTATGTACCTGTATAATGTAGACCGCTGATGAATGAACCCCCTCCCCTTAATAGGGATTATCATAGGGATCCCAATACTAAGGCCCTTAAAAGGAGGGGCTTTATTAATCACGGAACTACATCAGGATTCTGTCTTTGATCTATGATGTCAGCATGATTGGATTGACCAGGCCTGATGTGGAATTGCAGTCGCTGGATTGTCGTCTGCACCCGCCATTCTTTCATCATTTCCACTTTATTTCCCCTTATCCCTATATAGCCCCTATCTCTTAACCCCCCCCCCCATATTCGAGCCCCAGTAGATACCCTATTATAAAGTTTCCATTTTCATGAGGAAACATGGCTGGAAAGTCGTCAGGTTTGGCATGGGTGTTGGGTTGAGTCTTGACTCGATACCTTTCGGAAAAGGATCAATGCACGACCTGCCCATTTTGGTAGATGCTTGAATTCGCCGCAACTGTCAGAAGGAGCCTGCAAACGTTGCGCATAACAACAAAGCGCAACAAGCAGCGTAGTGGTCGGGTTCACAATACTTGCAAGTACGCCAAAAAGTTCTTTGGCCCCACGAAGAGCTCCTGAAATGTGGAGTGCGATAGATATGAGTGCACAGCTTTGTTCATCCCACTGTATGCGCATTGTGCTGTAGCCACCAGGCTAGGTACCCAAGACAGAGACATGGGAGTTTCTCAGCATGATTCCCATCAAGCCTCTGCAGAATTGCATATTTCACTTGCAATCCCTGTATATCTCTGTGGTCCCCCATTTGTTGCAAACTCTCCAATGACATGCTGCCACCACATTTCCCTGGGGTGCTGTTAAAAACATAATTAGTTGAAGTTACTATAGCAAAAACACGTCTATTTCTTGTTCTTTAACAGCGACCCAGTTCCGTGGAGGTTTGGGGCAGGCTGCAAGTTCTGGCGGGCTCCGGATGCTGAGCACGCGGACCCTGCGGGTACAAGTTTAAGAGTCCCTATTATAAACTTATGATTTTTTGGGGGTCGAAAGTGGGGCCCACCCTATTTAGGGAAGCTACCATAGTATCATAGGAACAAATACAGTCATGTTTTCATCACAGCCAGAATAAGGATCCCGAAATGGGGCTGATGAAGTAAATCTCCTCCGTCAATCCCCCTTTCCTTGTTGGGTACTTCATGTGAACCGAGCCTGCACACATGAACGTGGAAGGAGGGAAGATCATATTTACTCTGGGCCCTAAAGTCTTGAGATCATGCATATTATTTGCTATTTGGAGCCGCAACGTGTTATGCCTGAAACAGAAAGTGTCCAACCGACGACATGGTGGAGTCTCTCTGCACTGGGCTGGGATCTTAGGACCACGGAGATATACACGGCTTATGATGAGAGCTTGAAGGATTCTATAGGGCTAGTTTGCAGCAATACCCTCTCGGCCTAACTTGTAGGATCCTGGGCAGTTTCCATGGCTGTTAAAGCAGATTTTATTAGTCCCATTAGAGGAAGTAGAGTTATACACATGGCATGCAAGCATTGACGCGTCATTTCCCATACCTGTTGCTAACCTCTTTACACCCGAAGCCTGAATTCAAACTCTCCTTTTGGCTTCCAGGACGATCATGACAAGTACTGTTAGGCTACTCTAAGTAGGGCTCTACACCGCGTAACCTAGTTGCAAGAAGACCGGAGAGGACACCAAAGGCCAGTATTTCGTGGCAGAGTCCGTGGAGTACCGCTTGAGACCTTTCCGAGGCCTGAATATCACTTTCGATTGTCATGTGCAACTGAGCTAAATACTTGTGGAATAAAAACGGTGATGCCCCAAGAATATCCAACAAAATAGGGTGTAGGGTTTAGAGGTGGCATCCGACCCAAAATTTGAGGGGGAGCATGGGGGTCCTGTGACCCAGTTTAGATGCAGTCCTTCTCATAGGGACTCCCCAGAAGTCCCCCCTAGGATTTCAAGACTTCAAGTGGAGGAGGCAGCAAACTTGCCCAGTATTGTCAGCTTTGTCATTAGGGGTGTAAGTTGCTGGTGCTGAGTGGGGAGTGAAGAACTGCATGGGTTTGGGTTATAGGGATTACCAACTATTGGGAAGGGTTCTTGTGGGGGGTACTACAGAAATCCATACCTCCAGTCCCTGTTAAACATCAAGTTGTTGGATGGGCGAGATTATTTGTCAAGCGTGGCCGTGTCCCAGGCCGAAACTCCTGTTTTTGCTTCATAAGAACCCGATATAATTCTTGCATATAAGCCAAGTTTCCACTTCACGTTCACTTGCTGTTGAATTTGAGTCTTGATTGCAGGGTTGTGGTTGCTAGCCTAGCTGTTGGCATTATTGCGAATTTGGCTTGACGCTCGCCAACAGCATGAGTGCAATTTTCGGCTGCTCTTCAGGAACTTGAGTTAAGCTGCCATGGTTAGGAGCAAGTTCCTGAACAGCAGCCCAAAACTTCATGCAGGCAGTTGCCGAGCGTCAAGCTGAATTCGTAAGTTGCCAGGGGCCTAATGCAAAAACCTAATTTAGGTCCCCTTAGAGCAATCCAGAATTGCCAGGCAGGTCGCAGAGACAGGATGATTCTTAGGGTTTAGGATGTAAGGCTGGTTGGGCTGTTTGGAAGGTTAAGTTTGAGATGCCTTAGGCATTCGTGAAGCTTGTAAACATGGAACCCTACAAGATCGATGGCTTCCTTCAAGAAAAGCAGTGGACTACTGAGTACAGGGCTCAGGTCTGATCAAAATGTCACTCGACGCCCTCTAGTCTCCATAGGAAGAGTCCCAAGAAATGGAGCAGATTATATAACCCCTATAGTACCCCTATATAACCCTTGTATAACCCCTATGGTACCCCTATATAACCCCGATAATTATGGAGGTTCCTTCCAGGGGTTCAAAACGGATCATGCGCAGACAAACTCCCACCTCGCAGATGTAGGATATGGCGCTTCCCCCAGGGATCCAAATAGCCCAATGTAGGTAATATCTACACACGTTATGGCCCAAGGTAGATATTATTAGTATACTTGGATCCATAGGATTTCAGGAGGTAGCCCAAAGAGTCCAAGTGTCTATATAGCAGATATTTTGGCCAATGGTTCGTATACCGGTACGTTGGTTTCCTTGGAGACAAAATGCATATATTGGGACAATTGGATGCTTAGGGTAGGTTATTGTATTCCAGCGTCCCATACATCTCACTCACCAGCTGAATGCTAATCGCAGCCCAAAATAGATCTTAGGTGACAACAGCAAGCAAGACCTATAAACCCTGCTTCTCAACCCTACAGTTACACCCAAACCCTGAACCCGTGAGTTGCAGGCGACATTCATGGCACCCAGTATGTCTTCGGACGACCAGTTCGCAGCGGCATCGCGCCGATTGCCAAATCAATGGGGCCTGGGACCCAGAACTTCTTTGTGGTTACAAATTTAAAACATAGTAGTCTGTAGGCGTTCTATATGGGTAAATGGGGATGTATAGGAATGTATAGTGCTGAGAGATTACTGGGGTAGGTTTGAACTATGTTATAAAGCCATAAGAATTCAATCTTCATTGGGCCCCCAAGCCCTAAACCCTAAACCCTAAAGGCAAACCTACCCTAGACTAGGGCTTAAGGATCAAGATTCGGGCCATCCGTCGGTGAATTTGGAAGACCTGCCCCACAATTTTCATACCGTATTTCCACTTGATTCTCGACTCCTCACTATTCTAAGCATTTAGGGCCATGAGCCCCAAGGCTAGACTCTACATAATATTAGAACCAGGTTTAGGGTGTTTTCCCGGCTCTTTGTGTCTTGTGCTGGGGCTACCAATCCCTATACACCTTCCCAGCTCTATGTGTTGGGCCCAGGTCCTGGCGCTACGAGTTCCCAGAAGATGCGCATCCTGCTGTGCCTTGCGCCACATACGGATTTTTCGGGTTCTACAGGGTCATGTATGGTCATAATACGACCCCCCCCATACTATAGGGATCTGTAAGGTTAGGCCAGAAGAATGGAGAATCAAATCAACAAGACAATAGGAAGTGAAATGGAGATTAGAATTACAGAGAGATTTGGAGGTTTGTACGGTTGTAGATAGGACAGGCCCCAATACAATCAGAGAGAGTCCTGCTGTAGTCAGCTATAATTAGTCCTACATCTGAAATACTATAAATCCTAAACCCCAGAGCCCTAGACCCTATAAAACCTATGATACTGGGTTGTTGAGGGTTTAGGCTACTTGGGAGCCTTCGTCAGTATACGCATAACCCTCTAGAAGCCATAAAGAAATCGCTCACCAAATCCTATGACCTTCTAAGCATGCGGAGTGTAGACCCTAAACCCTACATCCTTAACCTTAAGCCGCGGCTGAGGGTCTATAGTCGACAAGTTCATAAGCAGTTCAGAGGTGGTTTGAATTCAGCAGGAGGGGTTCAACCTGAAGCTTTGTTACGAACACGCCCTGTTGTGCATAGAGATTTCCAAAGACTTTGGGTGGCTTCCAGAGGACTGCGCAACAAGGAGTTATGGAGCAGATACTCTTGAGAAATCCTCAAGTCTTGTTCAGGGCGGGCCACTGGTATGAAGCGTGTTCCCTAATTTCGGCCATTTGCTGTGGTGGAAGGTCTGATTTGGCAAAGTCATATAAAATTTACTAAGCGGCACAGAAACAAACTGCAGCATGGACCTGGTCCCCCAAACCCAATGTTCCCATTTAGTCCGAGCCTTGCCTTCGTTGATGAAGATTTTTTCCGCGACCAGGCTTTGATTGTTTGTTCAGGTCAGGGGAGTAGGCTTAGTATGTAGCCAACATGATGAGATTAATCCTTATGCCATTTTTTGGATGACATGTACATATACAAGGGGCAGCCGAGCCTTACCCCAAAAGGCCCTTTGTAAAGAGTCGTGTCCTTTGAAAAAGGGCACTCGGGTTCCCTGGTCGGGCTGATTATTCCTGAAGTAAGCAAGGTGGTGCAAGTAAGTAGTTGCGGGGGACAATGTTTATCAGTCACCTAGTTCGGGAGTCGGAAGCAGACGTACGGCCCCCAGTGGCATACTAATATGTCACTTGGTGCTAGAGGAACCTTATCAGGCTATTTTCGAGTTACTTGAAGCAGCCTATATATACTACGTAAACCCTATTCAGGCCTCGAATTGTCCTAGTTGGACCTCATGATACGAAATACAATGTCGTGAATTATGGCCTTACTTATAGCAGCCCCTCATAAAATGCTTCATTCCGTATTAGAAAAGGATCCACGGCCCTAAGCCCCATATATTTTGGTACTTTTCGTATCTCCATGCCTGCCACCACTACAAAGCTGCTGAGGTTTATCGCCCTGCCTTTCCGGCCCTCAAGGGAAGCACCAAGTCAGAGGGCGAAGGGGAGACTGCCGAATGAGCGCGCTCAAAATGGATGATAGGGTCTAGGATTTGCTGGAAAAGCAACCCATTCAACTTTCAACCTTACAAAGCCTGCTGACCGTACAAAACCTGGAACTCCCATCCATTAGAGTTATTGCGGATTTCCGTAACCAGGAGGCCCCAGTATAGATACCAACATATTATCATCCTTGCCACCACAAGGGAGCCCTAACCATTGGGAAACCCTGGACGCTATAAACCACTCTATAACCCCAGTCTCCCTTTCATGTTCCATGTGATTTTCCATAGTTGAGGTCGCACGTCCCCTAAACCCTATAAACCCTACCTAAATCTAAATCCCTACGTAAAGCCTTTAAAATCCATGTATAGGGACCTATATATGTACACACGATTTAGTAAAGGAGCCTTGGCCTCATTTTTGGAAGACCTAAAGCCCTAAACTTTGAGTACTGCCCCCCCCAGTAACAGTCTATATTAGGGGTCCTATTAAGGGCTATATATAACCATATTATCAGTACAGAAAGTATTATTCAGCTGTTACTGAGTGGGGGCAGTATCCAACCTAAACCCTAGACCTGGTTTGCATACAAGGTTGGGGGATTAGGGTTTGGAGTGTAAGGCATGCTGGGGACCGTAGAGGAAGATGGGGATCACAAGGGGAGCCCCCCCCCGTCCCGTCACGTAGAGCTATTGTTTCGGGGAAGCTCCGCTTCAGGAGACGTTAAAGTTTGCAAGGGTCTAGGGTTTCTGGGTTTGGGTCCCAAGTACCCCAATTAAGGGTTCTATAGCATGGTCAAAGGGTCCATGAGTTTCACCCCACCCCCCCCGCCCCCAGGATCTCGAGCTTAGGATCTAGTTTAGGGTTCAGAGTACTTCGGGTTTAGGGTATAGGGTCTGGTTTGGGGCTTAGGGTTCCTCCCAGCTCCTAAAGCCCCCCATACTAGCTGCCGGCACCTCGATTGCCATCTCGCCAGCTTGATGGCGTCTGAAAAGACAGATGACCTAAGACTTCTGGGTTCACCTCTGGTGCCCCCACCCCAGATAGTCGCTTCCATTTTCTTTTCCATTATCCTTACATATCCCCATAAACCCTACATATCCCTATATACCCCCCGATATGATGCTGAGGGTTGTTGCCAGACCCTCAGCTTGACCAAGTTTAGGGGGTTGCCTGACCTGCCGTTTCCTGTAATCCCCCCCAAATATTAACCTCGGCCCCCCCTAATATTAGATACTTTCAATCTATTAGACTTAATAAGCGACAATGGGGAGTATTTAAGACTAGGGGGATGGGGGGGTTTAATACTAGGGGGAGGGGATCATCTACTGTTGAGGGTTACAGCCTAGACTGCTTCGGAACCACACATAGACCGCAGACCATCCACAAGGGGCAGCTAAGTGCAAGAGCTCGCAACACGAAACATCTCAGCTCTGAGAGGCTCAAGGTGCTTCACCGCAACTGCAGCTTGAGTGGCTGGTCATACCTTGCGTTATTAGGGTTATATTGGGGTTATATAGGGTTAATGGAAAAGAAGATGGAAACTACAATTTAGGGTTTAGGGTTTAGAGTATAGTCCCCCTTAAGTAGATATGGTTTTGGGTATATTATAATAAGATTCCCATATACACCATATTCTATCTAGTTAAGGGGGACTATTACCCGTCTTGAGGGATATCTGCTAGGCCTCAGGGTTTGCAGAAGCAATGGCTCAAGCTCTTACCATTTGCTGATGTAAGACCTTGCCCACAGCCCATCATGGCTACATTCCAATATATGCCGCCCTAAACCTACAGTACAGGATCTTTGTCATGAGCGACAAGTTTGAGATGCCACCAGAATATACTGTAGGGGCCTGGGCCCAGCGAACCGCATAAGGCTCGAGGGTGTATTCTGCTGTAGTTATATAGGGTTTAGAGAGACATCAATGATTACTGGTAACGATTCAGGCTTCTACTTAACTTGTAGAGATCTTCTTTTCGATATCTCCGCAGATGTTGCTGCTACCTGGTGAGTCTCAGACATTGAGCCAGACTGCCAAGAAGCAGACCAAGCAGGAGATCCGCACGAGTTCCCTGGATAAAGTAAAGGGCTTAGAGTTTAGGGCTTAGGGTTTAGGCAAGGAACATGCTGAATTGTGCTACAGCTTTCCAGGCCCCAACCAAAACACCAAGGTATCTAGAGGTAGGTTTGAACTATGTTATCCGAAGACTACGCCAGGCTTGCACACGCCTAAAAGCCTACCTATGAGCCTTCAAGTTGGATTTGCTGTTCGATCGTTACATGGCATTTCTTGAGTTGTCACATTCATATGAGCTACAATCTAAACTCCTTCAAGGGGGGTTACATAGGAGATTCTATAGGGGAGTATTATAGGGGTTACTGAGGGTGATACCAGAAGTTTAGACCATGTCTCAGATGAGGGGCTTTGGATTTTTGCGAAAGTTAAACCCCAAAACCCTAAACCCCACACCCTAAACCCTAAACCTAGGGTACTGCCCCCCCTCCCAGTAACAGTCTATATTAGGGGTCCTATTAACGGCTATATATAACCATATTGTACTTATTATCCAACTGTTACTGAGTGGGGGGCAGTACCCAACCTAAACCCTAAATCCTAAACCCTGAACCCTAAACCCTAAATCCTAAACCAATCCCACGTCGAGATGAGGCACCTATCGATATGTAGACACTCGGCTGCAAGATGAGGGCGCATTTTTGTAGCCCTATATGATATGGGGTTTAGGGTTTAGGGTTTCCATTTTATTTTCCATTATCCCAATATAACCCTTATATATATATATACACCCCAAAATACTCCCAGCTTCCATTTCATTTGCTATTTTCTTTTCCACTTGATTCTCCATTATAGGGGGATTATATACCCTAAACCCTAAACCCTAAACCCTAACTTAATTTAAGCTCCTTAACAGCAACCCAGGAAGAGCGCTCCAGCCCAGCTCCTGCAGCCTGACGCCGTTTTTGGCGCTGCCGCGACAATGGCCCAGCTACCAAGGACCCGGGTAGGGT